CATTAATGGGGCATCAGCCCATGCCCATGCCCATGCCCATGCCCATGCCCCTGCCCACGCCCCCCTTGCCTGCTCCACCTATCAGCAGCCTCGCCACATACGGCTTGTATAACACGTACAACACTCTAAATATTGTTTGCATGTTGCCTCTCGCTGCTGCATGATTGCTTGCCCCTTTTGCATGAATAGGTGTTGGAATGCGTCGCGTATACGCCCGATGAGCCGAGCATGATCTACGATCTGTCGAAGTGAACTCAACTCCACGATTCGGCCAAGAATGACAAGCAAAAGCTTCAGCCTAGAGCTGTGAAATGAACTCGGTGACTCAGGCAGCTCGACGCTGCAAGCTTAGTAGCTGTTTCAAATCGATTGGCTAATAAATTAGCGTTAATGTCGGCTACTATTCGAGTGTCGTCAGAAATTGTTAAGATCTAAGTCATGCGCTGAGCTGTCAAGCGACGACCGCAGCATTTGAAAATCTCTTCCCATTGATTGACCGAGAAAAAAATGAATTCTTTCAGTTGAATCAACCAACGCTAATCAACCGAATTCCTTATCGGCTTAATTGCCCCGATGTGTGCGTGTGTGTGGTTACAGAAGTCACTTGACTAAGACCTCCGACCAGCACAATTTATGATTTACGTTTAATTCGTAAATACGCTTATGAGAGCAATACTAATTATGTTTTAATTCAGGTGGATTTTATTTTAATTGATACGCTTTTCGCCCTCGCACTCGATTTGTCATGCTTTGCCTATTACTCATACACCAGGCGCGTCATTAATATTAGGTAATAATAAATTCGAAACACAGGGCGATCGATCGATTGGCCCAGGCCGATTACAACTGCATGCCAGCCATAGGCGAACCATTCCGAAAAGATTTTCGTGGAGGTAACCCCAGTTAGAGGCACTCAATATTTATTGGATTGATCATGTTTTGCGCATGGTGAAATTTAGCTTACAATTTGCGGTACTAAACGCACGCTCTCTCTCTCTCTCTCTCTCTCTCTCGCACACCTTACGGCCGATTTGCTGTCTCGCGGCGACGCGAAGAAATTCATGAATGAACCGCAATTGCGACGCCAACCATCATTGTGTGTGTGTGAGAGAGGGAGAGAGAGAGCTAGCCTGACTAGCCAGCTGCATGGCAGACACCACTGCGTATGAGTAATATCACAAGTCTTGTGAAATTGAACGGAAATAACTGAAATTTTGTACGAAGCTCCGTGACGTCGGCAAGTTTTTTTTTCCAAATAACGTTTATCTCTTGCTTTCCCTCTCTGTCTCTCTCTCTCTCTCTCGCTCTCCTGCCCGGCTTGCGTGGGACCCAACATTTTTCAAACCAGCAATAACTATTAGCGATGAATAACGCACGGCTTGCACCTTGCCGCAGTCAGCGCGAATCGGAAGTGATGTATACCAAACGTAGCTAGAGGCTTACACTTCCGCCGGCTGAATCGTTGCGGCCCAAATTTCAATTCCAACACGCTTACGCTGAACTGATAACAGGCCGCAAACACCTCATTGATAATAAAAATCATTGTTAACATTTGTTCATATTTTATAAAGTATTTTTCTATTTAAAAATTATGTTGTTCCGGCCAAAAGTCCAAATGACTTTGTTTATTTTGCAAAAAAAAAAAAGAATAAATGTAGAGAGGTGAAAAGTAAATAAAATACTCACAAAATGAGAGCCAATACGAAGCGCTCACAACGCGCTTGGCTCAGCGTTCAGCTGGCGAACGTTTTTCTATATGGAGGAACAGCTGATCAAGCCGAGAGCGCCAGCTGGCCCACTACTAAATCGTCAAAACAAAGAGAGCGAGAGAGCGACCGTGAGAGAAGGGCAACGAGCGTCAGGCGACGTCAGAAAGCAACGTTCTTAACGACTCCCGCACTGCGCTACATCGACACAAGCCGTTTCGCTGCTTAAGCTTCTTATGAATGCATTATTTGTATAACAATCGTAATGAAAATATGCTAATAATAATTATTGTCTTTATTGCAATCATGGAAGAGACAACTGAGTCAGTTGAGCGTGACGAAGCTGTTGCCAAGCGCATTACACAATTGATATGCCTCAGTCCAGATCAACCACTTGCAGGGCACACTCACAGTTATTCATTGTTTCTGCTCAGCTGGTCGGCAACTGTCGCCGGCTGCTCGGGCGACGCTCGTCGGGCTTGTGTGTGTACAACAGCTGTTGGTAGCTGTGATTGGCAAGGCCAGCGATGTGTTAGGAGGGCGGCGTCATCTACTTAATTCAGCAATATTCACGCCGTCTAACTATTATAATTAACATTATATAGAACAACTAACTTGATTTCCATTTATCGTCTCTTACTTATCGTTTTGGCAGCGACGCTGACGCTGGCACTGGCACTCTGCTCACACACACGCGCGCAATTAGATTGTCGATTCACTCAACTCACTCACTCACACACACACACACACACACACAGAAACGCGCGCGCAGAGGCGGTCGCGAATCTGCGCGCCACGCACACATGAACGCTTACTCACACAGACAAATATAACTTCTCGGCCAGAGGGGGCCACCTCGTTATACTCCTCATTAGTACGCTCATAGTTACTGAAGAGTTCAGTTCGTTTGCTGCTGCTGCGGTTCTGCCGCTGCCTCTGAGATTCTGCCGCTGCCGCTGTCGCCGTCGCTGCCGCTGCTTGAGCCTCTGCCTTAGCTGTTGCTGCGGCCGCTCTCTGGCTGCGAAAGCTGGCAAATATCTACACAGAGAGCCAGCCCGAATTCGATCGCCAGGCACTCGACTCAAATCAAATCAAAACAGGCAGTCGAACGCAGCGCGTCGACGTTTTTCCAATAATATATCTGCAAGATACTAATTCGTAAAATATATACACACACACACAGATATAAATATATATTTTTTTTCTGTTTTTTATACGTGAAACGAAGTTTTTACTTGCCTGTTGAGTGTTTTTGTTATTATTGAATTATTGTTCTCGAAGTGCACTTTCATATCGCGAGTTTATTGCTTTACAGCCAGAGACGTGCGCTCTCTCTCGCTGAAACACATTTTTTTTTTGCCTGAACTATTGAACTATATACAGTACATATAAACACACACACACACATACATATATATATTTATATATATATATAGCCTTGACATTGCAAAGGTTTTTCCAGCGCAGCTTGCACAGGACTCATTGGAAATTTATGTGTAAATGGTGCGTATTAATTTCACTAATTTTCGAAACACCTAGCCTTAAGCTACACACACACACACACACACACATGCACATGTCCGACATTTACCCCATCAATTGCCTTATCGAGTCACCGAGTTATTTTCCTGTTGTTGTTGGCATTGTTTTTGGCTGTGCACTTTATATTTTTTAAACCAAGCGAACCTGATGATGCGTGTTCCACCCACTGATAAGTGGCCCACGACACACGACTAGCCAGCTACTTCTCTCTCTCTCTCTCTCTATATATATATATATATATATATATATACAAATGTCGGGAGAGAAACAGTTGTTCTAGAAGAATTAGAGAAGCGGAAGTTCGGAATTCTTGAGTGTAGATGTAACTGGCTCGAATGGGGCTGGCGCTATCCTGACCTACATATGTGTACATGCCCAACTGCTGTTGCAACTGGCATTGCGCGCTATGCGCCCTGGAATTTGATGTAATCAGAGCTGGAGTAAGCCGCCTTTCCCGGGAAATCGTAGTCGAACGGTATCAGCGCAGCGCAGCGCGAACGGGAGCTCAGCTTGGGCCACACGGCCGGCAGCAGAGCGACTGTGGCTACCCTGGAAGTGGGCGGGTATGCCGAACCAGAGTTGAACTGTCACCTGGCATGGCCAGCGTGCCTGACTCAAGTCGACAGCGCACGGCTCTTTTGTTGAGCTGCGGCATTCGGCGGCAGTTACCAAAAACAAGTTCAATTCAAATCAAACATGTGAAATTAATTTACACGTTCGGGGCGTGGCGCATGGCAGACAAGCGCTGGACAGTGGGCAGTGGGTGTTGGGTGGGGTGACGGGCTGCCAAAGGGGCGAGGGGCGAGTGGGCGAGTGGGCAAGTGGGCAAGCAGGGAAAGGGGAGCCTCGTGTTTGGCAACAGCAACAAGTCAGAGCGTGCGCGACGATGCGTCAGCAACAACGCCGGCATTTTGGCATGGACAAGGTCCGGACCACCACAACACAAGAGAGCGAGCGGGTGAGCGAGTGAGCGTGCGAGCGAGGGAGAGCGAGAGTGAGCTGTAGTGCGAACGAAAGAGAGAAGCAGGGTTAAAAGACAAGAGACAAACGGCCGATGCCAATAGCAACGTTGACTTCAGCCACATAAAGCCAACTCCAATGAATTTCACAAAAGTGTGCAAGAAGCCAGCGGGGTAAGTTCGTTGACTTTGTAGCGCAGTGTTGCTGACACTGTGTGCGTGTGTGTGTGCGTGTGTGTGTGTGTGTGTTGCGGAGATTCGCTTATGCCTGATGATTCAGCCAAATTAAGACTTTTATTTTAAATAATTATGTCAGCAGACGCACACACACACACACACACACACACACACATACACACATATAACATAACAACAACAACAACAGCAATGACAACAACAACAAACGATAACGATAACGACAGGCCAAGCACGTTTTGGCCAAATCATTTCTTAACCCAATACACGCAATGAAACACAAACAAAAGCGAAGGCAAACAGAAACAAAAACAAAAAAGAAAACAGAAAAAAAACACTTGACTAACGGGAATCCCCTTCACAACAAACTGCATTGTTTTGATCATTTTGACAGACGACAACTGTTGCTCAGCTTCTAGCCAGCAGCAGCAGCAGCAGCAGCAACACAAAAAACACTAGCAAAACGGCCAACACGAGGAAAGCGCGAGAGACGACGACGACGGCGAAGCCGCAACAGCAGCACAGTGCCCGAGGATGTCCTCCACAGCCCACACAGAGTCCACGCAGCTGGAGATCGCTGCTAATGCTCGCCTTGCTCATGGGTCAGCTGCAGGAGCTGGTGCGTCCCGGCGATGGAGGCGGCGGCGGTGGTGCGGGCCTTGCTTTGGCCGCACCATCCATTGCAGCGACACCAGCGGCACCACTCATGGACATGAGCACGGCCAAGCCCGGTGTAGCGCGGCAAGCGAATCGCACGCGCCTCCAGAAGCGACACGACAGCAACAGCTTCAAGTTGCGCTTCCAGCGTGAACTGAGTAGCCCCGTGCTGGACTGGAGCAATGGCTGCGGCGGCAATTGGACCGGGCCCGACGACCTCACCAGGCGCCTGAGGCCACCCGACAATCGCTGCGCCCATCACAAAAAGGTACGTAAGCGGCTCAAATAGCCACGGCATTCCCCGGCCTCAAATCAATCAGCAAATTCGCGTATCAATCGTAATCTTTATGGGGCATTTCACTTGGCCGGGTCTAAGCACTGGAAAAGTTTGACAGCCAACGAGTGGCGGCTGATGTTGAAAGTTGAAATTCATTTAACTCTGATTACATTTAAAAGGCATCCATAAAGAGTCTGAGTCTGAGCTATGCTCGAAGAGCGAGTGAAGTACAGCACCTGGACTACACAGGTGAACAGAACTTGGCAATCAAATGGCAGTGTAGAAGCAGCAATCACAGCTGACTAAAACGTCTTGACGAGGCACAAATTCTCAAAAATATATTGAAGAATTTTGATTAAAGATGAAAAAATTATTTTGTTGGCTTAGTAATTATTTTAGAGCTGCACAAGTTTGTTTCATAATAAAACCAAAATTGATAAACTTAATTTCAATAATAATATATTTTTTGACTAGCTAACTATATGACATTAATGCTAAAATATAAGTTTAACTTTTTGCTCTTAGATAACTATCAAAAACTACAGTTTTTTTCGCAATTCAAATCATTAAAATCTCCTCGCTCATCAACTCGGCGCACAGAGTCTTCCACATATTAATTGGCATTGTTTTTGTTGTTGCAGCTGCTACGCACACTGCAGAACAATACGGGCCGTGAGCTGCGGCAAATGCAGAATGAGAACAGACGCCGCAAATCAGTGCACTCGGTGAAGGCGCAGGACACAGCGGCCAATCAGGCGATCGACATCTCGAAGCACAAGACGTGGGATCTGCACAGCAGCCAATACAGCTTTCTGCCCAGGCTGAATGTCAGTGCTCCGAAGGTAAGTTAACAACTTTTCAAATACAATTTGCAGGCGCGAAGCAATCAATTTGATTAGAGCCAAGAGCTGAGAGCCACTGCCTGGCAGTGGGTCACGTGAGGCAGCATTTCACCCGTTCGTCATTGCGTAGGTGCAAAGTAAATAATATAAAAAGCCGTCACAAGCCAACAGAGCGCGAGTCAGTCATATGAGTGCGGTCATCGAGCGAGGGCCGCTCCACAAGTAGCGCCGGGCAGCAACATCAAGTATACGCCGTGTGCGGTATGAATCGGCGCACGCGACTTTCCTCAATGTCAGCTGAGGCACGTTCCATTAGAACTAAATATACATGAATATAATTATTCATATATACATACTGATACATATAGACGCGGGGCTTCATTTCATATGTCGGCTAATTTGTTGGGAAAACAAAAACAAAACCTCAATCGAGGCAAGCAAACAAAACAAAACGAAACAACAGAGCCACGCGCCGATCCTATACGTATTAGCCGGGCAGCTGATCGAAACGTGATCGTTAATATGCATATCATTTCGATATGGAACGCATATATTATAGCTGCTCTCGGCTCTTGTCTTTCGAATTCGGATTTCATTTGCGATCCCCTCGTAAAAGCTAATGATGCGCTAAAAGCCAAATACACGTAGCGAATCACGCGATTTAATAAAAACAAATATATATCAACATAAAAAACATGTAAGAACTTTCCACAGGGTTGTAACCGACTGACGCATGCGCGCTCGCCGGGCGAGTAAATTTGAATATGAATATATATATATGTATTCAAATATATAGGCCAGGCTACAGCCGGCATGTGATCAGACCCTTTCGAATCATGAATGGGGCTGATAATGGCTTCAACTTTGCGAATAATATTTACCAGCTGCGAGAGTGTTGCCAGAGCAAAGCAACAGCCTGATGACAGTAGCCGCATTTTAAGTGCTTGTATAAGTCTACAAGCACACAAACTGACTTATCTAGCATACCTGCTCAAGTCAGAAATGGGAAGTAGATTACGTCCAACTTGGGGTAAAATGACGCTAAGCTATAAAACTTATCTGCGGAATCTAAAGATTAAAACGAATGCCGACTATACTACATATGTGTGTATATAAATATATATGTGTCTATGTGTATATATATTTATATATATATCCATATATATATACTAAAATTTATTGTCAAACAATCGCACTACTATTTTTATGAACAACAAATTATTTTTTCACTTCTTACTCTTTTCTTATATATATATATATACACATATATATATATATATATTTTTTTTGTTGTATATATATATACATATGTTTATATAAATATAAATAAATTAATAAATATATATATTCGGAGATATGTATTAAGTTTTATTGTCAAACAGTCGCGCTACTATTTTTATGAACAACAAATTATATTTTCATTTCTTACTATTTTATATATATATATTTATATATATATATATATATACATATATACATATATGTACTACATTTTGTTGATTCTTCTTTCTTGAGCCCCAAAGTGCACAAGTTTCTAAATTTGTGTGTTTATCACTAAATTTTGGTGTCAAACAGTCGCACTACTATTTTTATGCAAGACTGTACATTTATATACGCATAGACGTATATATATATATCTATATATATATATATATAAGAGTAAAAAGTGATGCATGTATTGCTCTGGGAAAAAACCAACGCGTTCTGCAAAGCTCAGATATTTGTTGTATAATTTTAGAACTTTCGATTAACGTAGTCACAAAGAAGGTGAAGTAAATATTTGATTGATACCCTGAACCGACTGAAAATGGCAATTGTGGGTAAAATGGCTTGGATAAAATGCATGTAACAGGCAGTAGGAGGCGTGGCAGAGCCCACAGTTGAGCTTGTCTTTTTTGTTTAGATTGGAAAGCGATTCGGACAGGATTCAGGGTATTTGCTAGTCGAGCAACTCCGCCTAGATAGAGATTTCTAACTTCCTTTTTTTGTTTTTTGCTGCGCTTTTATTGTAATTTTATTGCGCCTGTGCTCAAGTTGACCCTTGCCTTGGCTTTAAAGCTTAAAGAAAGAATTAGCTCATATAAGAGAGAGTGTGGCCCGCACTCCCTCCCCCTCTCCCTCTATTTGTCTGTCTTTCACGCTGTCTGAGCTGAGCTTAGCGACAGTTGCTTGGCTAATTCCCAGGTGATGCTGCTGCTGTGCTATGTTCTATACTTAGACAGCTAACATCATCATCAAACACATTAACCAGCAATAGTGTCTCCGTGTGCGTGTGTGTGTTTAATAATAATTGGCTTAATAATGGGCGGCTTTCGCTGAATTTCTTATTGACGTCACTGGAGTCGCGCATAGGAAAAAACCCAAAAAAAAAGAGAGAGAGAAATCGTTAGTGTTTCGGCCAGAGGTCCGCAAATGATGTGATTTGTTAACCGATTATAATGATGTTTATTGTGAGGTACTCTCCCAATCACACGCACACTCACAGTCACAGTCACAGTCACAGTCACAGTCACAGTCACAGTCACTGGACGATGAGGTGTTGATGTTATTCTTGTAATATCGATGACGACCCAGGAAACGTGGGTGTGGAGCCGTGGGTGACAGCTAATCGTGGCTATTTATAGCATGCCCTATAGACACAGAGTGCCATGAGTGTTGCTTGCGCAAATCACAAATCACATCATACAACAATTGGAGTTAGGGCCACACACATTACCAAGAACTTGCGGCTCACGCGGCCTTTTGACGTCACTGAAAGTTCAACAGCGAAGCATTTCGCACATATTCAAAGCTTTTGGGCGCTGCAAGGCGGGTGCAAGGGTGCCCCAGCGCCCAGCGCAGTTGATATGCTTGAGCAATCTAAGCACTCATATATTGTAAGTGAGACACACACACACACACACGCGCACAGAGGGCCACACGGATAGAACGATAGAGCGACATGGAACGCGCGCGAGAGCGCGTGAATCATGCGAATGAGCGAGCCGTGGATTCCCCCAGCAGCGGCATGAATGAAACAAACGCCGATAAGCGAATAGTCTGACGATGACGACCGACAACAACAACGAATGACGATGACGACGACGACGACGACGACGACGACGACGACGACGACGACGAACGACGAACGATACGAAGCGACGCGACGCGACGTCACTAGCACGCGGTCGCGAAATGCGTTGCGAAACCGAAAGCACAATTAAGCACAGTTAGCGAGAGAGGGAGAAAGGGAGATGGGCAAAAGGCGAACGGCGAACGGCGAACGGCGCGACGTATAGGCGAATAGGTGTTTAGGCGAATCGCTCGCTTTTCACTTTCAGGCAACGCGTCGTATGATTGATTTTTGATTATTAATCAGCATGGCGAGTTCAGTCAACTTGAGCGCACTGCACAATGCAGGGGCGTGGCCGAGGGCGGCTGTTTAACGGTTAGCAACCGGTTTTTAGCCAGAACAAACCGGTTGGCCGTGCGGCCGCACAATTGTTATTACACCGCCCCGTTGCTTATCAAAACGGATATTCGATCGATCTATGCCAGCCTGACGACGGCTGCCAACCAACGGCGATACGCTTTCGAACCGGCTCCTCAGCACTTGCCTTCCACTAATGAAAATCTGTGTGCTTTCCGTTTGTTTTCTTGCAGCTATCACTGCGGCGCGCACATGACGATCTGCAGTTCTACGTGGCCGCATTCAGCTATCTGCGGCACGCCCAGTTGCACTGGGACTATGAGAAATTACAGAAGCAGAGCGCGCTGTCGGCCGAGCTGATGCGCCTTCGCAGCAGCGCCCGCCTCGTCCTCTGCATCGTTGAGGAGGCGATCAATGGCAGCAGTCGGCTGTATCCGTCACACCACAAACGTCAGCGCCACAAGCCGCTGCTGCTGACGGTGCCGCGTGTGTCGATGGAGAAGCGGCTGCAGAAGCTGAAGACGCCGGTGGTGGAGCTGCATCGGCAGGCGGTGCTGGCCGCGCGCTATCAGCACGCCGCAGAGCCCAGGCAGCCGGACAGCCTGGATCTGCGGTTCCTCAAGTACCAGTACATCCAGTACCTGAAGCACATGACCAAGCTGCTGGCCAAGAATCGCAAAAGGGACTGCAAGGACAGTCCGCCGGCGAAGGCGCGACAAAGGCAGCGACCGGCGTAACGGCCCCACTTCGTAGGATTTAGTTCCATTTCGAATTCCCAGTGAGCCGAGCCAAGCATCCAGACTAAGAGCTCGCTCAATCCACACAGTCAGCTGACTTCATCAACTGAAACTCATTCTCAAAGACGGCTATGACGACATTCTAATCCGAACCGAACCCGAATCCTAAATAGCTTAAGTATTTATTACCGATCATTACATATATATCAACACTTCTGTTGTTGTTTTTTTTTTTATTTTTTTGTTCGTTCGTTTAGCTTAGGAATTCGCCGTATTATTTATTTGCAAAACATTCCTCACGCATTCTAAACGAAACATTCACTTAGCTCTAAGTCCAAAGTATTCCCAATGTTACCACGACATTTGCCTTGTATTACGATACTGTGATAATAGCTGATAGTTGGGCTGGCCGATCCCATCCCATTAAATTAATCAAGAATCTCATCAAACACACACACACACAAATGCAGCTGTGTTCATAAAAATAGTAGTGCTGCACTATATAAACCATAAGCCAATTGAAATGCTATTTATATATATATATATTCATTTAAATATTGATTTTAATATTCGTTACAAATTCTTTTCAACACACACACTAAAGTGTGTTTTCCAACACTGAGTGCTCTGTCGCACTATTATTTTAATGAACACTGAAATGTACGCAATTTACAATCCAACTTATTGGCAGATTAACTTATACTTGTATTAACTATTTGCTATACCCTAAGCGATTGAAAACACGAATTCAGGCTGTGCTGATTTTGTTGAACTGTATGTAACAGGCAGTAGCAGGCGTGGCCAAGCCCACAAAGTATGAATATTCCTGATCAGTGCGACGAGCGGAATCGTCGGCTTAAGTCTTATCTAAATTTAACTTTTTATCGATAAAAATCGATAATTCAGCATTGTTTTTGAGGCTTAATTTTTGTACATATTTTGTATTTTAAATACTTTGCCCCAATTCCCCTTTTTTGTTCAATTCAATTCAAATACTAGAGTCTTATGCTTTGGCAAATACCAACCTCTGTATGCCATTATTATTCCCTGAAAATTGCATTTAGAAATTCCAACTAGAAGAAAGAGTGTGTTCAAAGAGTATGCCCGTGTGTGTGTGTGTGTGTGTATGCATGTCTACAATGTATGTATAAAAGAATCGAAGCACGATTGGCATATCGCCGCTTCGCAGGGCTTAGATTATCTCCTAGACTAGAGCACTCTAAAATATTTTATTTATATTCTATTTAATAATATTATTAATATTTTTTAGTATTTGAATAGAACAGTTCTTTGTGAATTTAAAGTGAAGTGGGGAGGTATCTGAAATTCGTAAAATACAAAATCTCTGTATTCATTAATGAGACCTACACAGTCAATCTAAAATCTGCAGACAAATTATCGATCTTTATCTAGATCGAATCAGCTTCTCGTTCTGTTCAAAAATATATATGCCTTATGGGGTCTGCCACGCCCCTGCTGCCATTAAAAAAAAAACAGTATTGCCTGAATTCGCATTGGATGCAGGGTAGAAAACAGAGAAAATAAATAGAAAATATAAAAAATTAAAAATAAAAATATTTATAAAATTATAATAATTTAAGAAGGAATTAGTAATACACAAAAACCGAAAAAAATATATATGTATATATATATATATATATATATTTCTACAAATTATAAAAATAAATAAAACAGAAAACACCGAAAATGAAATGAATTTTTAATTGCTGAAGTAATAAAAACAAATAAAAATAATGCAAAAGGGCATTTAGCTTGGCTTGAAAACAAATACAACCTTTGGGCCCGCACACACGGGGTATGCACTCTATATATATATATATAGGTATAGGTATGAAATGCCGCAACAATTTAATTTGGAATTGTTGGAGTTTCCTTTTAATTGAAGCCAGAAGTAAATTACGCGGCATTTATAGACTTGTACAAATATTTTATGAGCCATATAATAATACCACAGAGGCATTGCGCTGATCTGTTTGTTGTTGTTGTTCTTGTTGTTGTTGTTGGGTTCCTTCTCAACCTTTTTACGACGCCAACTCAGCGACAATTTTGTTGTGTTTGCTGGTGTTGGTGTTGGTTCGGCATATTTTGGTTTTTTTTTTTTTGTTTTTGATTCTTTTGGCCTTATCGAAGCAGAGGAATCTACGCACACCCTGGACTTGGACTCGGCTCGGGGTCCATGGTCAAAATCTGAGGTTTTCGATGTGTTCGGGGCTTCCTTTTGTGTGCCACTAATGTCTTTCAGCTTCTCTCTCTCTCTCTCTCTCTCTCTCTCTCACTCTGTGTGCGTGTGAGTTTGTCGCGGTTTCCACCAATTGCCCTGCGCCTCGTCCGTTTATCTCACACAATCAGCAATTGTCATTAATTTCGGACGCTGTGTACGTGCTCCGATTTGTCTCTCTTGAATTCTCAGTGACTGATTCAACAATTTAATATGCAGCGGCAGCCAAGACCACGCCAGAACAGGCCAGGCCAGTGCATGCCATGCCATGCCAAACCACGGGGCGATCATCTCAGTGCCCCTGGGACACTAAAGATGCTTATCATTTTTGATTTTATTGTGACCCCGATGCAGCCTCTTGCCGCCGTGCAGAGAGACATGCAACTATGCGACCATTCACCAAAAACAGTGTATGTACACATACATATGCATGCCTCCATATGTGTCTTATATGCATTGTCTCCCTCCCAATTGCAGATGCACCCGCTTGGCCGGCAGCAACCCTTTGGCTGGTCGTAGCGCCGTTTTCTTTTTTTTAATGGACTTTCCAGCAAGTGCACGTAGCGCTCATCTATCTTAAGTTTTGATAGGTTTTTACGAGCGTATTTATGCGATGGCCTTTATTAAATTGAAAATTATGTCTTTCTATGAGAAATGTCTAAATTGTTGACTCCACTCTTGGCTAGGTACTAGGCCCACTGTCTGTGTGTGTGTGTGTGTGTCGAACATTTGTGGCTCTGTGTGTTCCTCAATGAACTTGCGCCCTGGGTCTGCAGCAGCGACTGGAACAGATTTAATCTAAATGTTTATTTGGTCTCTTTTTAGTTTATATTTATTTTTTTCTTTTTCTTTTTTTTTTGTTTTTTTTTTTTTGTTTTTTGGTTTGTTTCTTTCTGCTGCTGTTTTTGCCGTCGGTCACGTGCAGCTTCTCATAAAACTCTGTAGTTGTATTTTTTTCCAGTGACAATTAATTAAAAATATCTTATTTCGTTTATGTTTTGTGTGTTAGCTTGTTTTGTTATTTTTGAGTTATGTTTTCCGCTGCAGATTTATAGATAATGGCGTTACATTTATGGGCCCTAAATGCGCGACTAAGCCAACAGAGTAATACGGGCCTTAGCTCAAGACAACAGAACCAAAATGCATCCCAGCCACCGAACCCCCTTCCTGCATCGAAAACAAAATCCCGACTCGACTTTTTTTTTTATTTTTTTACAATTATTTTTTTTTTTGGCTGAGCATAATAGATTGCAAAACGTTTTTGTTTTGTGTTTCGTTGGCGATTTTTATTAATGTTTTTTATAGCTTGTGTTTTGTTTTTTAACAATCTCACGACGTCAAAGCGCTGCCTCAGCTCTTGACACCATGGGAATAGGTGAAGAAATCTCTCAACTTATATGCGCCCTCAGCAGTTTCCTCTTTCACAGAATCAAAGCCATCTCCGCAGCTGTGAAGCAATCGAATCAAAGATTCAGCATTCAAAATGCAACTTCACTGGCTCACACTCCTCCAATCTATATAGCTATACACACACATATATATACATAGATCTAGAGCGATGCATGCGACGCCAATTGAGATTGAGCTGAGTGAGAGTGAACACAATATGCTGACGCCGTTCGAAAACTATGACAAGGTGTTAAGCTTCAGGGCTGCAAGCAGCTTCTAGATGGTTCGGTTAGGGGTTCATGGCTCGTCGTGCTCCCAATTCACATAGAATCTGTAAGCCCCAGCCAGGGGCAGAAATATTAAATTCTTGATTAATTTAGAGGAGCTGACCAGCTATGAGCTGGTCGAATATATATTATAAGTTCGTTATTATATTTTATATAGTATGAACAACAATATCTGAGTCTCATCTCTCAGATGTGGGCACACACGACTCTGGCAGCAGCTTCTGCTGCACATATATTGCATATTTTTTTTGGAGCTGTGCAAATTGAAATTGTCATAAAAAAATAAAATATATTTTTAGTAACAATAAAAAATACTTTATTATTTAGTATATCTTATGACATTAATGTTTAAGTATAATTTAAATCATGTGGCGCCAAATACCAATTTTCACAATTATCACAAGCATGACCATCTAGACCAATCTCTCTGCAAACCCACCTAACACTCACTTTTGGTTGCAAAGTTAGTTCAACCTAAGCTTATAGATTACCCACGCCTCAATTAGACTTATTTCGACCAAAAATGGGCTTTATCATTATGCACGCCACAAAATGAACAAAGTGTACGATAAGTGTGACGAATAGCGTCATTATGTTGATAACAAATTGGAACAATTAGAAAGCATTGATAGCGTGTGAATCATAATGTCAAATGTCAAGCTGAGTTGAACAAAAAACAACGATTCATTGTTGAATAATTTGTCAAATAAAGTAATGTTGCTAACTCAAAGCTATGAAACGCTAAATAAACATCCTTGATTATAAATTTCAATGTTTCCAGCTGCAGATTGGGGAACAGAATAGAAAACCTTAGACTAAAGAGACTGGCACAGATTTCAGGGTAGCCAATGGGCTGGCGCCAGCTTTCGTTGAAGCCTCCATTTCCATTTAGATCTCTGGCAACTGCTGCCATTAGCCGCTTTTGGATCGACTTACAACTGGCAGCGGCATTGATTTTGGCCTGGTGTGAAAATCGCACGCCTCTTGCGTAGGGTCTGGGCCACGTTAAGGTCGTATGTGTGTCTGGCCGCCAGCTTGTCGCCGTGGCCCATATAAATTATGCACAGTTAACAATGCGAATCTGTCGGGGCGTATTGGTTATTGTGTCCAGGTTTTCCGCTTAATAAGGGTAAAAGGTGGCTTCAATTGCAAAACAATAGTAAATGCCCTACCTCTGCCTCTGGTTGCTTTGTCCTGGCCGTACGGAAAGTGACAAAAATTATGAAAGAATTTCGAGTGGACTCAGCCAAAGATCAAAGGTGACGCGCCCACTTCAAATTCCATAACACGACAATTGTATTTAATTCAGCTGAGAGAGAGAGGGAGAGAGAGAGAGAGAGAGATAAACACAATGAGCTAGGTCCAGCGGCAGCTGAGACAACGTCCTGTTCGACAACTGGACAATAAAGTGATCAATACCAGAAAAATGTTTTTAATTGTCAATGAATGCGACAGGGTCTGACCGAAACATACCCTTGACCTTTTGCGGCAGCACAGCGAATTGTTGTTGTTTTTGTCAGTTAGCTGTTGTTGTGCAATGCTCAAGCGCTTCAAAAGGTGAAATAAATTGCCCACCACCCAGGTGAAGAATGCCCGAACCGAGCACCGATAAATTTTCGACTTGTACGTGTTGTATGTGTGCGTGTGTGTGAGTATGACAATGCAAGGAATTGTTATAATTAATGGCCAGGTTGGCGCCAGCGTCTGGGCAACGACGACCCTGCCCGGCTGCCCCGGCTTGGCCTGTGAACCAAATCCGAATCCAAATCCAAATCCAACTCCAAATCCGAACTTTGCATCTGGGATTTTTTTATTGGTATTTATGTTTTGTGTGCTTGTGTCATATTTAAGATGCGCACAGGAAATCGGTGCATGAGAATTGATGAACGTGCGCCCTCGACATCCTTTCGTGAGCCGCCTTATCGCAACTTTGCATCGACCCAACGCATCCAGTGAGCAAACAGCAAACCAATCGCTCAAACAAACCCATTGAAGCGATCAGTCAATGGGTCGACTTAGAGGCTTGAGGGCGACTTAGCGAACAGCGACAGAACGTGCCTCACAAGTGGCTGGGCAAACATTGACACAATCCTTTTGCCGACCCGGACCTGGCCTGGACCTGGCCGGGCTGGGAACGTGCGAACAACTTGACAAACAATTGCAACGCACAAATATACAAAACAAAAAAAATATTTCACATTTCACATTTGCATTGGGTCAATTGAGAACAGAGCGAGTCGCTGGCGAGCCAATGGAATGTGGAATGTGGTGTTATCCAATGATCTTGTTAGCGTGTTAACCCCCTGCCCCTCGGCCTGTCAGCCAGACGCGAGTCCTGTCAGTTCAATAAACTATCGCTCGCTGCTCAGGCCGAACTAGACCGACCCCTAAATGGGCATTAAGTGGCAAGTGCAAGTGCAAGGATGACAATTCTATGAGACCATGGCAATAGCCACAAGTCGACTCTGCTGTCACCTACACCTAATCAGGGCATGTTGATTATATTATATTATTATTATTATATATTATTATTATTATTATTTTATTACATTATTTATAACTTGAATTTCTTAAATTAATTCTCTTTCGTTTTATATTTAAATTATTTTAAATTTATATTTCATAATTCATTTTTAATCATTTTGTACATTTTTAGCATTAACAAATAATATTTGTTTTTATTTTACACATATATTTTTGCAGTAAAGAAATATGTTGTATTTTAATTATTAATCAATTTATTTTTTTATACAACTTTTTAATATTTTATAAGTATATATATAGATTTATTTATATAAAATAATTTTTAGTTTTTAAGCTTTAACTCTCTATTTTATAAATTCCAACCTGAAACCTTTTTTTTTTTTAATATTTTATTTTTGTTTACAATATACATAAATCAAAATATATTAGTTTTAAGACTTTATCATTTTTGTTATTATTTTAAAAAATTGTTTTAAAAATTATTAAATTTAAATTAAATAAATTACAGCAAAGTATTTCATTCTTTTTAGTTAACAAGCGAAAATCCTGGCAATAAATACAAAAATTCAAATTTAGTTAGAAAATTAAATTGAATTTGATATTAAAATACAAAAACTTGCAAGTGTCAATAGAGATTTAAAACTATTTATTTATTACTTTTTTAAATGTATTTATTTTTTAATTAAAAGCAATAAATATTAAAATTAAAAAATAATTATAAGAGAATTTAAATTTCATGAATTTAATAATATTAGAAGTAAATTGTAAATACAAGTTTTTACAATTAATAAATTTAATTGACATAAATTCGAATATTAATAATTAATTAATATATAAATTATAAAATTAATTGCTATAAATACGATTTTAAATAATTTTGAAAATGAATCAAATTTATTGTAATAAATATATTTTGATAATTAATTAAATTAATTATTCATTTAACACTGTAAATATATTCGATCTATTAGATTGAAAACTAGCGTGGAAAAATATTCACAAACTCAATAAGTTAATAGAGTCATCAAAATGTTAAGTATTAATCGAATTAAATTAGATTGTTATACAATTATTGTACTTAATTTAAGTTTATTATAATTTACTTATATTAGGAGCACTGGGAGTTGGTAGCTGCTGGAAGTGGCCATATGCTCGGCCGTTGAGTTGCAATTTGGTAAACAAATATTATGGGCAGCCACGCGAAGAGGCCAAGACCAAGTGTGGAGAGTGTGTGTCCAATGTGGACGATGTCTGCGGAGAAGGCACAAATAGACTAATTGCCCGCATCTAATAAGACATCGTTCTCATTCAATTAAAATATCCATATCTAGTACAATTAGACGACGACAAATGTCCACATTGCGGAGACTCATTAAACTTGCACGAATTATTGCACGCACTTTGTCATACATTTTAATTTCACTTGTTGTGCACACGAAGCCAAGCCAAGCCAAGCGAAGGCAAGCCAAGCCAGGCCAACTGAAGTGAAGTCAAGCCAAGCCAAGCCAAGCCGGGCCAGACACGGCCCGGGCCGGGACGGCCAAGCGAAATTAAACGAAGTCGAGCCGATACCAATGGCAGTACCAATACCAATACCAATACCAATACCGAAAGCCAAAGCCAAAGCCAAAGCCAGACCAGACCAAGCCAAGCCAAGCCAAGCCAAGATCAAGACCAACTCCAGCTTGCAGACGCAGACCACAAAGTGAACGAGGCTATAACTAAATCGCTAACGCAATCGCACACACACACACACACACACACTGCAATGCTGGCAGCAGCAGCATCCAGTAGGCAGCCAGCAAAGCTGAAGATCTCTGTGGCAGCGTGCGCTCCACACACATTAGCAATTACGCTCATTACACTTAATTACAGAAAACTAGGAGTGCATGAAGATTTCCAACTGCGGACGATCGTGGAGAATCCAAGTGCTGTAGTTTCGGTCTGGGTCTTGGCCAACGTCTTGGTCAGGTTGTTGTTGCTGTTGTTGTTATAACAGTGCCTCGGCTGGCTTGTGTCTTTATATGCACTGGCCGCCGCGAGGATCACGAGCATGCAGAGCAAGTGAATTATTGCAGTCTCATTATGTGCGATGAGTTATGTATGGCGTATTGCTTTCGTCGTCAGGCCACAGTCTCGTCAACATCGTCATCATTGCCGTCACCGTCGCTTGCTTCGAAAGTACTCATGTATCTGCATTGTAACATCCAAACATATTCAGACGGCCAGCCAGGCAGCCAGGCAGCCAGACATACGAGCGTAGCCATCTGTCAGTATGCCAGTTACT